TGGGTACACAAACCTGCCAAGGGCCCCAGCCCCAGCAGAACCCTCCYGAGGCCACATCTCATCTTCAGCCCRCAGAGATCCAGGCAAGAGGGAGAAAAAATTCAATCTCAGKGCATTGTTTGTAAGGTAAATAGCCCAAAGCCACTCTCCTCCACAAGATCAACCCGGTGAGGCTTTCAATTGGAATAAACCAGAGCCCAGAATAAAGCCAGTTCTGCTGTGCACAAGAGGATTCCAGCTAAGAAAAGGCCATGAATGGCAGGAGCCTCTGCTGGGATCTGCTGCTCACGTTCTGTAACTCAATCAGGTCAGTGTGCTGTGCCAGATGCCTTGGCAGAGTGGGATGAGGCACCTGACTCAGCCTTTGCAAGGATCTGTGGCACACACAACCAGGGAACAGGCAGTGGAGTAAACAAGATGTGGAGCCTGGCTCAGCTGCCAGGAAATGCCTGGCCACACCAAGGGCTGGGGAAAGGTGATGCCAATATTCTGTTAAAATCCTCAGTAAAAGTCAGTGCCACCCTCAGGAATTCCCGGTGTTCCACAGGGCACKTTATCTGAAGGGTTATCCTGTGGCAAATACCAACTTGGATTCTCTAAAGACTCRGAACACTCTGGCACAGCTTTACAAAGGACTGTGAGATTATGGGACACCAAAGGGCTCTTCAGGGCACAAGCATCTGTGCAGGAACTTTTCCTGCTGTASCTGTGCCTCTGCAGCTTCCATGGCACAGTCCAGCAGTGCAGGCCAGGCTGGGCTTGGCTCTGGGRAACAGCCCTCACCTTTGCCATCAGTTTACCCTGCTCTGTAGGACAGCACAGCCCCCAGGAACTGCCACAGCCACAGCAAGGGACCCCAGCCCTTGCTGGAAGCAGAGTACAGGAGGGTTCCTGGATCTCCAGAAACAAACCCTGACTCCCTGCAGATCCTTGGGATCACAGAAGTCTATAAAAGGCAGCAGGAGGCTGAATCCCCACCTGGGAATTTGCWCTCTGCCTCCACTGCTCCCTCAGGCCAGCAGCTTCTGCATTCTCAGCGTGTTTTGTGCCGGACAGACGGTTTGCTGTCTGCAGCACGGACATGAGAGCCCCACCTCCTGCCAGGCAGAAACACTAACGGGAATATCCCTGCTGCTGTCCAGGCTGACAGTGGGAACCGTTGAGTTCCCAGCCTGGAATCCCAATCCCACAGCAGCAGTGAACCCAGCATTACTCAGAGTCTGTTCAGATGAGCTAATCCAGCGTCCATCAGGCCCCAGCACAGCTGTGGAGGAGCAGCAGTGCCAGCTCCAGCAGTCCCCACCCTTCCTTCTTCCTTCTTCCCGCGCAGGGAAAGCCTGCACAGCCACCCGACAACTTGGCTGCAATGTCATCTCCAAATAACCGATTCTGCAGGGCTCTGTCCCAGCTCACTGTGCCAGGACAGGGCACCAGAACCGCCCAGCCCGGCCTGGCTGCTCCACACGGGCAGATCAGACACTCCCAGGGCAGCACAGGGGATGGGGG